CGATCAGATCTGACAAAGAACCAACGAAAGGGCATACACCGGCTAGAGCTAGCAGATTTGCAAGGACCTGTATGATAAAATGAATTAGTGGTGAGTAAAGGCAGCTTCAGAAGGGTATCACCCACAAACCAGATCCACCTGTCCGCACCACCGATGTCTGCATAAATATAGGGTGGGATACCTCCTAACCGGCATCGTCAGCTTATACCAAGCGCAAGATCAGTCCAAGGTATGAGGAACCCACCGAAAAGATAGACAGGAATCTGGCTGCCAGTCCACAAGAAGGCCATGGCCGTGAAGCCCATGAAGCGGCGGAAGGACAACTGAATCGAGTCAGCAGTCAATTCAATGAGCTGTACCAAACCAGTAGAGCAATAAAGCACGGTACTCACAGGAATGTCTTGACCCTCTGCCGTATCTGAGCCTCCTGATTCTAGTCCAACAATCTCCTCATGACTGTACTTATGCTCCTGATTGTTCCCCATGCTTGTCTGTCCTGCAGCCTTCTCATCCACCTGAGACTGACTCGCGTGGTCGGCGACCTCCATCGTTGTACAGAATGTCGCAAAGTGACTCAATTAGATGACAGAAACGAGAGAAAAAGAAACCATAGATCGGTCCAATGCCGCAGAAAGCAACGACCTGGTACTATTGAAAAGGAAACAGGAAAATAATCGTGTCGATCAGCCAGCAAGTCTGCGCTTCTTATATGTGTCAATATTCCAGCAGAATAACAAAGTTCAATAATAGACCAAGCTCTCGGTAGCCTCCACGACAAGAATGCTTAGGTTCATGGGCGGAGTCACGTTTCCGTGAATCATGATCTCAGGCGGAGAACTGACTCCGATACGACCAAGCGAGCCAGGTTCGTCGACCACCTCTACCAAAACATCTGGATGTTTCATACGGGGATGCTTCCACATCGGGACAGAACCGAGGCACTTTCCAGAATTCTGGTGCGAACAGTGCTTCAGTAATTGCCGGCGAGGGGTTCTCTGGGCCAGCTGGGCTCATCTGGGCCGTGGAGAGTGCGGGGGATTGGACCTGCAGGCGTGGCGCGGGCGATAGGGTGCGAAACAAGCTCCATATTAACTTTGACTGGGCCATGTGTTGGTTGAGTTTATGCTACTTGATTGGGAGGGAGGAGAGAAACGGATATATGACCAGATTGGAGCTAGCCAGTAGCCAGCGAAAATAAATCGGTCATCTCATTTGTTTGCCCGTTGATCGGGCCAAGTGGACCACTACAAAAGTTCAATACCCCGGACTTTCCCCAGTTTTCCGCTATACCCATTAATTTCTCCAATGGTCAAATACCAGTTCCAAGAGCTCATGCAACTTTAATTGAGTGATATTCGAAATATTCCGGAACAGCCTCCCCTGTCATACCATCGCGATCTATCGAGCTAATATGTATGTACTGAAAATAATATCCTGTTAGTGGACCATTTGAGCGCCATGTTATGCATAACGAGAAGAATAGGCGACAAGTCGAGCAATCCGCCTTCGATAGTCCCGGAATAGACTTAATATTCAATTATATCGAGCAGGGAAATCTCGATCATTGTCTGAGTATCCATCCAAAAGTACCGGGCTTGAAGGTCTCGTCGGCATCATGACATGTCCCAGTCTTGTCTCCGACGAAGCAACTGGATCAGAATCGTTCTCCAATCTCCCGCAACTTGAATCCCTTTGGAACCACGAAAATCGCAGAGGCTTGCGCACACACTCGCCCGACCGGGTCGCGGATCTCACCAGTCACGTACGCTTTGCGCTCAGTGCTTCTTTCTGGGTCTACCTGCGAGTGAAATGTGTAAAAGTTGCCCGAATATACCGGAGCGCGGTAGTCGACCTCAAGATTGGCTGTCACGCCGGTGCGTGCCGGGAAATGGCGTATAGCAGCACGTCCCAGATTCTCATCAAGAACAGTAGCGAGAGCGCCACCATGGACAACCGTTGGCCAACCCTCCAGACCCGATCCGAGGTATACCACACTGATAACTTTCTTCTCCTTGTCGTTATAGAAAACTCTCTGTACGACAATAAATTAATTAGCAAGTGCCAGTACTTCCGAGGTTGATCGAGCTTCCATGCCGGCATTTAGAGTGCTCGGTAGGCAGGGGGGCTCGGTAATGATATCAATATGCACGCCAAGAAAAATCGCAATCCCGGGTTGATTGCGTCTCCTCCATGATGATGCCTGAGGTAAAGATACGAACCTGGAGCGCCAACCCCCGACTCCCACGCAGCGGTCCAGACGTCAATCTGTGCGCTTTGTCCTCCTCCGAAAATCCCTCGTATGCATTCGTTTCCACGTAGTCCGGATTGTTTCTTAGTTCTTGCACGATAGGCAGCCCGTGCTCGAATACGTGATTGATCTCCTCCAGCTTGGCTGCGTCTTCCACTGTTCCTGGCACAGCGGGTGCAGAGACCTTCTCATCCATCCATTTGCCAGCGGTGACCCCTAATCCACCAAATATTCCTGCGTAGGCCAATCGCCGTAGCCACCTCGACTTGGCTGCTGGTGGCTCTGCTTGGGCAATAGTGCTGGTATGGCGCGACAGACGGGGCTTCGAGAGGTGCACTGACTTCAACTGCGTTGCATTCCAGCGCGGTCGAGATTGAAAGATTCTGCGAGGACCGAGCATGATGATCTGAATCACATCGCAACCTGGCGATAGGTATTGCTGGGGTTCAGACGATACGGTGTTACCAGTACAATTTATCAGAAGCAACCTTCAGGGCAAGGGAAACAAAGCGCCGATACCGAGGTTGAAGTCACGTGAACAACCTTTGACGAGGACTTTTCTACGCCCATGTTATTGTTCCTTATGCAGATTCAAATGTTACTGAAGCACTATCTAACACTTCGGGAATGTCCCTGGGTTCATGTATCTATCTAAAGGTTCTTCGTAAGAATAGCACGCATGCAATGTTCACGGAGTCACCAAAAGGTTGGACGCTAAGAACAAGGAAGACTGCAGGAGTCTAGCTGATGCGAAAGCTTGGTTCAATGATGCTTCATGTGGTCGTTATGTGCTAAGCTCCATTTCTCAAAGACGTAGACCGAAGGCACGGCACGGTTGGTATCAGTAGGCGTTGAAGCTTCTTATTCCGCAGTGGGCAAGTCAACTGCGCGGTAGAGAAGGATCAGTGCAGAATGGGATTCGCCTGAAATTGCCTAATATCAGTCATAGTTCTATCAATAGACTGAAACAAGCGATGTACTCACCACCACCAGCAAGGGTTTCGATCTTCTCTCCGTCCACCTCGGTGACCTTCTCGTCGTTGAACCACCACCATTTTCCGTCCTCCTCGCCCTTGCCATTTGGCTGCTTCTTCACATATGACGTGTAGTGACCACTGTCAGCACTGGCGCCTTGATGCGTAATGACTGCGCGCAACTCGTAGAGGCCCGACTTGTTTGTACCGGCATCTGAGGCGAGTTTGGGGTCAATCAGTGTAGCCAATTCCTTCTTTGCAGCGAGTATTGAGGCATTCTTCTCGGCCTCGTACTCTGCATCCGACTTGAAGACATCTGTCATGGCCGTGTCCCCATCTTGCTCGCCGCTCTTTGTAGCCTCTTTTTGCCCCTCCGTGACTTGCTTCTTTTGCATGGGTTCCAGACCCGCATCAGACTCAGCAGCTCTCTTCAGCTCCTCCTCCCGCTGATGAGCAAGCTTCTGGCGCTTGCGGGCACGCTCAACGTCGACCTCTTCTTTCCGAATATCTCGTACCTTATCCCTGATAGGGATCAACTGCTTCTTGAGCTCCTCCGTACAAAATTCTACCACATCCAATTCGGCAGGGAAAGTCACTTTGCGCATGATCTTGGCCTTCTTTTGGGTCTCACGCTTCCAGAAAAAGCGGACAAAGTGCACGGTCAGATACTTGGGCAGCCGGGCAATGCGGGATCGTTTAGTGTAGACGGCATCGCGGTCCAACGTAGGTGATCGCTTTTCAATTTTCTCCTCGAGTCCGGCCAGTATTCCATCATGCAAGTGGTTTGTCTCTTTGCCGATATGGCAATCCAGCTTGTAGAAGATGTCGGAGCTTTTTGTCGCTTCCTCGCCAGCTGCCCTTGCCGCCGGATCGTCACATTCGGTGACCGATTCGAATCGACCAGCAAGATATTTATCCACGAACGACACCTCGGTAGCGGAGTCTCCTTCGCCCTCTTTGATCACCAGTTTGCTTCGCAGTTGAGTGACAATTTGCGACCAAGCCTCTTCAGCGTCTTGTTGAGCATAGCCCTGTCCATTCCTGTCTTTCTGAGCAAATTGAGGGAAAATGCTTCTCAAAGCATTGAGAAACATAAGTGGTGGGAAACCTTCTTGCGTCTCGGACATCTGCTTGAACAGATCCCGCAAGGAGGATACAAGATCCATGGAGGCACCAAGACCACCAAGGCCCAGGCTGCTGAGATCTGAAAGTCTTGAACCTGCTAAAGAGCCCGCGCTGGGTCTGTAATTTAGAAGCTCCTGTTGAAGCTCCGGGACGCTCCTCAGGGTTTGTAGGGTAGAGTTGAGGTAGCAAGTATTTCCGAGATTCTGTAGACCAGCAGGGGTGGCTCCCTCCGCTCTGGCAGCCTCGGCTTCGGTCATATCCTCCAGAAACTTGACTGGTTCCTTCGGCCGTCCCAAGTCTACGGCATCTTGACCGCCAGACGGTGTACCCATCATCATAAATGTCTGACCCGGTTTAGCGTTGAGGGCGGACAAAGGCGTCTCATTTTTCAGCTGGCCACCCTTGACCAAGATCTTCTGTCTCTCGGGTTCGACTCCAGTCAAGGAGTACATCTGATATTTCAGTGTTTCGCCATTCGCAGATGGATCGAGCTCGACCTCATGACGTTTGCCTTGGTGCTTCACGATAACTGAGAACATGGTATCAGTACTAGCTTCAAAAATATCCAGATTGCATCTCACTAGAGCGGGTAGTCATACTTGGTATTGTAGCCATCTTGTTAGAGCTCGACAGATGCTTTCCAAGTCTTCCAGATGAGCTTACTTGATAGATTGCTGGGTGAGTGGCGCATAATCAACGGCATAATCAACGGAGGTGACAGAGGTGACTCCAAAGAAGCGTGGGGCGGGAGTTACAAACAAGACAAACAACGCAAACAACCACATACGACATCACCGCCCAAGCAGCCGTGCGGGATGTCGTCGGCTCCTGAAGTCGACTGCCTAGTACATGTGCTTGAGTACGATCATTTATCCTGTTTTAGTCCAGCTTTTCTGACACTGTTGCATCTGCGCGTGGTCAATTGGTGCAATCTTGACACTCATCATTCCTGACTGGAACCGAACATTGACAGACTTGGAGTGGGGTCCAGCAACAGTGACGTGGAATCACCATACCTCGCATCTCCATTATGGTGGGCCGTACCCTTTCAACACCTGGCGAAACTGATATTAATCATCTGGCAGTCTCAATCACTGCGCCCGTACCTTCAATGCGTTCGGTCCTCGCTTACCGCTGCTCTTGCGATCTCGAACTTCGCCTCGCAAACCTCCGAAAGACATAATGTCCCTGAAATTGAGGCTCAGAGCTCCCCGGAACTGCTCCTCAACCCCCTCACAATTTCTCGCAATGAGAATGAAAAGGTCCTGATTGAGCCCAGCGTAAACAGTGTGCGCGTGAGCATCAGAATTAAGCAAGCAGATGAAATTGAACATATCCTGGTCCACAAGTTTACCAGATTCTTGACGCAACGAGCAGAATCCTTCTTCATCTTGCGGAGGAAACCGGTCAAGGTAAGTGACCATATGCTTCAAGGCCGGAGAATGGACAATTCGCTCACCTGTTCAAGGGATACGACATCTCGTTCCTGATCACGAACTTCCATACAGAAGCTATGTTGAAGCATAAGCTGGTCGACTTTATCATTCAATTCATGGAGGAAGTGGATAAGGAGATATCTGAGATGAAGCTCTTCGTATGTTCTCGGATTCCTCATTTTGATTGAGGGTTCTATAAGGCTAATGATATGCAGTTGAATGCCCGTGCTCGATTTGTCGCCGAGTCTTTCTTGACACCAGTAAGAGACCACTTCCTCCTTTCCACACTCACTTCGTTTCTAATAGATCTACGCTACAGTTTGACTAAATAATCATTGATATTTCCTACATTTCTCCTTGAATTGACCTCTGTTTCGTCCAATGAAAACCTCTGTACAGGCGATCTAGGTTGCTAAAGGGAATCATCCGAGCAGTCCGCTGGATGCTTTATTCCCTCCTTAGATCCTCAATCCCACCCTTGAACCAAACCCCGGTGAGCTTGCTCGCTTTTACAATTCATCCATGTATCTACAGCAATTCATCAGGACTATGGCTCCTCTTGACTCGCTGCCCGATTGCCTCTACTGCAATAAAGCAATGCATAAAACTCAATTGTTACATCCCAATCTCGGCACTCTATATCTGTCTCTAGGCCACTGCCAGATTTTCCAGTACAGCTCGCCAATTTCTCTACAAGTCTACTCTAGTATTTATTTCTCCATGAGTATGTCACTGTTTGCCACTGCCCAATGGTTAAGGGATACCATAGCTTCTAAATCCCAACATATCCGTGTGACCGTACACCCGTACTCGCAGGGATGGTGACTCTGCTTCTAGTGAATTATGAGGGATGCAATGTCAGACATCGAGTGCTGATACTCCATTCACAGATCATCTGCCTTGTTGAGGACTAGCCTCTACAGATGATATCTGATTCAGATGTCAGTTCATGAGCTTGGCACTACCTTCGGGAGATCTCTTTCTCAGTTCAGTTTGATGATGTCTTTATAGAGAGCTCATTATCTAGCATAAGTATCTAAGCCCACCACTGATGGCCTCATGTAGATATTTTATTGTCTCCTCACAGAGCTCATTGTCTAATCCTATAGATGTAGGCAACACTTCATTGTGGAGACAGCATATAATAGTGAATATGAATGAATACTGAATCAAAAGCAGGTTTTTCATCCCAACATTCTGTTACTATGGCGCTCATCTGCCCCGACGCTTTTAACAATAAGAGCCTATCTCTGCTATGAGAAGTGCTTCTTTCCTTCTCTTCTCTTCTCTTTCAACCTTCTTGCATGTTAACCATCTGATCTCACTATGGAGGGCAAGGATATCAACAGTCAAGCCTCCGGACATGAGTCCGGATATGCTTTCACACCTCCTTACCCACAGAGCTACAACATGCTTCCCTTCGGAGCACCTGGCATGCTGGGCTTTGCTCCGCAGCAGGGACAGTATATGATGGCCCCAGGCAATCCGAATCCGTCCCAGCCATTGCAGCAGGAAGGCCCCTTCATGTACTCTCCTTTCTACGGTATGCAGAGTATGGCTCACGCTCTTCCTGGCGTCATAGGACGAGCCCACGGGATGCAAACTCCGATGCCTGCCTCGAACACTCAGCTTCAGCTTTCGGTCCGTCCCAAGCAGACGGGGTTCGCAGCAGCTGGCTCTCACTGGGCTCCGCGCTCTTCTTTGCACCAGCTCCTAGAGCATGACTCTGAGAGTCGTGGGATAGCTACCCAGGCTGCTGACTGTGAGAAAAGTTTCGACACGGTGGCCCTACCCACCGAGATGCCGTTTGGGAGCCAAGTCCACAACAGAATGCCCCCTCAATGGGGAGTGGTAAAGATCGCGAACGTAAGTCAAAGCCTTCACATGTCTCTAGGCATGAAAGTCCTCTCGTCGTCGTAACGTCCGCGGGCCCTCGGCTAACAAGCAAGGCAGATTCCCTACTCAGTCACCCGGCAGGAAATCATTCAGTTTCTAGGTCGCCAGGCACGCCTTATTACTCCGCAACAGGGCTGCGCAATCCATATCATAATGGAACGTTCCACCGCTAAGACAATGGACTGCTATGCGGAGTTCCAGTCCGCGAATGATGCCCAGGAGACAGCTACTCGCATCAACCGAATTTATGAGACTGGCCGCGCGCCTCGTCTGGGTAATCGCTCTGTTGATGTTGAGTTCAGTAACCAAGACGCTCTGCTCAAGGACCTGTTCCCTCGTGCCAAGTGCATCATCTGGAAAGATGCTATGCCTACCGCCGTCCCCAATGATGACCCCTTTTCTACTGGGTTCTCGGGTTTTTTCACCAGCGAGGAAATCGTCAATGCCATTCGCCATGCAGAGATACCGCACCGTGTAAGTAACATTCACTCGATTCAATCCGGTGTTTGTCTGGTTGTCTGTTCAAGGCACTAACAACATTGTCAGTCTCCATTCTGTGCGAAGTGTCCTCAGCGCACTTACGAGTCCACCATCAGCACACTCTACAAGGTAACCCCCTTTCGTCTGATGCCATTGTGCGCAGAACGTACATGAGAGAGACAATATGCTAACCATACACCCCTTGTTTAGTTCCCGTGGTACGCTACCAAGCTGTACACTGTGCATGACCGCAATCAGTTGTTTGAGCTGGTTAGTCGGCACATCCTATCTCTCGTTGCGCGAGTCAAGAGGTCGAACACAGTTGGTCTTGACCAAAGACTGCTGAGAGAACTTCTTTATGCTGGATTGAATTGTCCTGCCTTCAATGAGCGCCAGAAGTACACGCTGTGTGTCAATTCGGAGGATACCACAGAGATCTTGAAGTTCCCAGATATGGGCAAATGGTTCCCTTTCGATACTCTGGTCAAGTTGCCAAAGACCGAAGAAAGTACGCTGCTGGTATGTCTTCCTTTCTTGACCTGTTCTCTCGAAGCTTTGCAGCTTTTCAGGCCCTGGTTTGGCACACACTGACGGATTGAGCGTACAGTATTATGTCAAGTTGATATCGAAAGGTACCCTCCATGATCGTACTGATATGAAGCTACCGAACAACTTCCCTTTGACGAACATTCACCTTGAGTCTCCTTACGGTCCCATCTGGTTCGAATGGCCATCCAACATAGCTAAGACCATGACCTGGGAAGACGCTTCCTCGCATGAGATGAGCATCCTTAGCCATCTTGTCCTGACGGGCTGGATGAAGAACGACCAGGAGAACACAAAGAAATCCGGCCTACTGCCCGAATCCACTACCGGAAGCAGTCGCGAGTCCCATGCCAATACCATCGTGTCATCTGGGAGCGATAATAGTCCAATCAATGTTCGGACATCTTCCAGGACTGATATTTTCGCGACACCTTCCCGCCGTGCAAGCGTTCAACTTGGCAGCCGCAGCTCCTTCGCCGAGAGCAGCGATGACGGCTGGCGCCGTGCAATGTATATGCATTCTTCGGCTGGCATGCGAGGTAGGTTTCCTGGTCATCGGAATACCCTGTCGTCTCCCACTTGTCTTCCGTCCGCAGGCAACCCTTAAGGTTTCAGCGGGACAGAGTCGTGGGACGGCCGGTACTGCAAACTTCCGGATTGTTTTCATCCTTGGACGGCAAACAATGTCTTGCTATCTTTTGGCTCCATTGTAAATTGCCCCAGCAGTTTGAGATCTGCTTTGTATCGATTTGGTACTTTGAAGGGCAACGAGTGCTTCCCTCACCCTAGCACTGTTCGTCTTTCGTGCCCACTGAGAGATTTCGGCCGGGAAGATATTGGATTCACAAGTGACTGATGCACTGAATTGGAGTCGATTTGACACAGTCGATATCGATTAAGATATCATGCAGTGTCAACTCAGCTTGTTTCGAGGAACCCTTGGGAGGCTGCGTGGTAACGAATATCATTTATCTCTTGATTCCTCTTTGATCTCGCTCATGCGGCTGATTGGCGGTGCAGGCGGCACGATGACCTGTTCTTCAATGGCAAATCACTGATCTAGATTAGATGACTTTTTTCTCAATCATGTATCTAGGATTCTCATAATGGCGTTGGACCACTCCCCCATCCCATCTCGTATGTCCCTGTACTCTCGTGGTCAGCAGAATTTGCCTGAGCCTCGAGAACCTTCTTCCTCATAAGCCCTTCCGCCCTTTTCCTCTCTCTGCGTGCCGCAGGATCTTCCCAGCCCTCAGGTTTAGCCTTTGACCTTGTCTTTGAGCCACAAAGTTGCTCCATCGAGCAAAGATTGAGCAGGCTTGTCCGAAATCTTTCCTTGCGCTCTGCATTGATTGAAAACCTCTCGTTTGAGATGGCGACCAACATTTGAAGATATTCTTCTGTGACCAGACTGCGGATGACAGGTTCCTTGCTGCTCGTATCGTCTTCTTCGTCGGAAGATTCGCAATAGCCAATGACGGATTCGAGAGACAACCCGGCAGAGCGCACGGCAACAATAGGACTTGGGCCATTCTCGCCTTCAAGGCAACGGAGACTCTGTAATCCACTTTCCCGAAATCCAGAAGTTGCAGCAGCTGACAATACAGGATGAGCGTGGTGAAGTGTGGCTGCCATAATATGAAGGATCTGTTGAGAGAGAGGGTATCAGTATAAGTTCTCTGATTTGTCGGTCTCTGAATTGAACATGGTGATACGAGGCCTTGGAAGATACTGAAAAGATTGTCCTGGAAGTAGAGCCAGAAAAAGGACAAGATATGTTGACCAGCATCGTATAGAGAGTCGGGCGATAAAGGACTGTCAACCTACCATAGGATCATAGTGGAAGCGCACCAGACGCGGGGCGTGACCTCCTTCTTTCAACCCCGGAGGCTTTCCATTTCCAGGAACCATCCCAAACAATTCATGCAGACTTCTCGGATGATCCTTGCCTTGCGTCGAATTGGAACCATCGCTGTCGCGACCTGTCCAATAGCCTTTCAAAGGATCGTGCGAGACATACAGCCACTTCCCTGCGCCTTTGCCTCCAGAGGGCGCGAACTGCCGTTGCTCCTGCTGGTGGTCATTTTGCTTTTTTCTCCCCTCCAAGAAGACGCTGATTCGTCCAGCACAACTACTGGTGGTCACCAGACCGGGCAGAGCGTTGATATCGCGGATTAAGTCGCGGATGCCCTCATCTACCGATCCTTTGGGTGAGAGATCCGTATACTCTGTGTCTGGGACAGACAGTTCCGCGAGAATCTTGCGCTTTCGAGGTTCAAAGACCTCTGGAATCGTGCCTACCTCCGGATTGCTCATGACTCGCCTCTGCGCTATGACACTCCTTATCTGCAGTTCGATCACCTTGAAAAATCGCGGTCTGTTTCAGCAAAAGCCGACCGAGACGTCCGGCAGTGAACCCAAAATTTGAATTGGTCTGTTGCAGGAATGGCGAGTGTCTTTCCCTTCTCTCTAACAGTATAATAGGCCTCTCACGGTTACGAAGAGAAGCTTGGAATTTTATAGAAGCGGGATGCCTTGTTCGTCAACATGTCTTCCAGACTCCCGGCAACGCTAAAGCTTTTCGCTAGCGATTGTCGTCTATCAAGCGAGCGCGCGCTAAGTTTAGTGGCACGGGAGCAAAGGGCCCGTCCGCCTTTTCCACGCGAAAAGCGCCCCATAAGTTACCAGCCTCCTGGTTTGTCCCGTCATCCGCTTGAACCGTCTCAAAGTCAATCAATCGCTAACTAAATCTTGCGTAGCCCGCTTGTCCCGTCAGACCGTTACGAAGCAAACCGCGGACAATCTCTTAAATGTCATAGACTAACTATCGCTTACCCACAATTCCTGCTCCCGCTCGGCTCCTCTTTATCCTGCGTAGCTACGTATATATCATCAGAGACTCTTCTCCGATAATAGCTTGCTCCGAAAAGAAAAACGGTACATTGAAAAGCAATTTCTTATCTTGCCTTCTTTCGGATCCAATGCCTCGTCGATCGTCTCGGGCCGTTCCCGCGCCTGCGGCAGCTCCAGCGCCGATTCCAAAAAGGCGCGCGTCTGACAGAATCTCTGCAGCCTCGGAAACAGATCCGAAAAGACAAAGGTACAACAGCACAACCGCCAAGAAGGCCGTCAGATCTACCGCCAGAAGGAGCAAATATTTTGAAGACGAAGGAAATGAAGAATCAGACCCTGACTCTAGTCATGCATTCGAGGTGGAAGACTCAGATTCAGCCTACGAAGATACAAACTTATCCTCCCCGTCAACTGAATCGGACTCCGAGGAACCGGAGGCGCTGTCTACAGATGAGGAGAGAACGAAAAGTTCAACAACAAAGACGGCTAACCCTAGTGGAGGTCGGAAGACACCAGCGAGAAGAGGCAAAGGAGGAAACGAGGCAGAAGACCATCCTAATGAGGACATAGCAGCTTCGCTGAAGGACAAAGAACTATGGAGAGAGGGTGTCAGCACTGGCTTAGGACCTGGAAAAGAAGTCTTCATCAAAAAGCCCAAAGCCAGAGACCCCGGAGATATCCCCTATCAGGACCATACACTGCATCCAAACACCATGCTTTTCCTGCAAGATTTGGCGAAACATAACGACAGACAGTGGCTCAAAGGTATTGGCGACAGAATATGATATCCCCGATTTTTAAAACATGTCTAACCACCTATCACCTGGGCAGCACATGACGCGGATTATCGTGCTTCGAAGAAAGACTGGGAAACCTTCGTCGAGAGTCTCACAGAAAAGATATCAGAGCTGGACAACACCATCCCTGAGTTGCCTGCAAAAGATATCGTAAGTGTCATTTGTTAGAAACATCTTTCTCGTCGTTAAAACCCGGAAAGGGGGAAAAACCATAAGGTGGAACGAAGCAAATGCATTGACTTCCGTGTCCTGCCAGGTCTTCCGCATCCATAGAGACATTCGATTCAGCAAAGATCCCACTCCATACAAGGTATGTATTATATTCAAGCATGACCTGTCAACATGCTGCGTTTCGCGTGCCCATGTTCAGATCGTTGGTGGGTTGACGATTGCTATGACTAGACGCACTTTTCAGCTGCATGGTAGGTTCATTCTCTGCTCTTGTGCAAAAGATCCATTGACTGAACGCCTTTCATAAGGTCCCGCACCGGCAAAAAAGGCCCCTATGCCGCTTACTATGTGCATCTGCAGCCCGGATCTTGCTTTGTCGGTGAGTGATCCCCTAACACTCATCGGCCTCTGCCGCTCAGAGTGAATTCCACTTCCAAGGTGTTCTGCACCAGCACCAGTTTACCCTCATTCTGACTTGACTCTGGGCAACCTTTTTGTCTGCACCATTTCACGGGGCTCCGTCGGCGACGATGGCTCCTTCGAGAATTGGTGACACCCATGCTTCCAGAATCTTGTCCTCTTCCTCTATTATCTCTAGGCCATGATGCCTTAAGCTCACAAAGATGGTGCCGTTCACAGGCTCGGGACTCTGGCACCCAGAAGCTGATAAGCTTGCTCTTCTTCGAGAGGATATCGACCATAATTCGCATCGTTTGAAGGCTGTGCTGCAAAGACCGGACATGCGCCGCGAGTTTTTCAATGGGATTCCTGACGACGAAAAGAAGGCTGTCCAAGCTTTTGTTAGTCAAAATAAAGAAAGCGCACTCAAAACAAAGCCCAAGGTAGGTACAGCTCTTTCTCGATGTCTCATCCCATCATCTGGCACACATCAACCACCACTGTCACGGGCGCAAAGCATTCCCATCGAATTCTTTCGAGCAGTACTCTATCAGATGGGCAGACTAGGTGCAGGTGAAGGTGTCATGATCAGAGGCTTTAGAGCGACTCCTGGGCGCGGTGCTACTGCTTGTTAGTGATGGCTCCATCATGGGATGACAAGCTCTGCTGGCTCAAAAGACACTTTCTGGCCAATCAAACAATGCTCTGGGCTGTCACGTCAGAAAAAGGAGCAGCCAAATATCACAGCATTGATGGCAGTTGTTCCTCAGTGCTTTGTGTGTGTGCGTGTGTGTCGAGGTTGTTGATGGCAAGAAGCGCAGCCGCGTCGGGTAGCCGGAGCTACCCGTATTGGGAGGTCGCGTTCTCACACCCAACCTTGCGAGTCGGGAGTCTGCGAGCCTGTGAGCCTACGACTATATTCGCTCGGCCCAGAAAGCCTTCTGCTCATAATTCTGGACTCCTGAAACTTGGTTCCGGGAACCAGCGCGGAAATGCCATCGTTGTCCCACCGGAGTTGCTTTGGTGTTGAAGAGTTTTCTGCACCGTCTCATCTGTTTCCATGGTTCAGCATCTGACTACTGGCGGGTCTTTTGCCGCGTCTTAATTTCATTTTCACGGTCTGTAAGTACTGACTGCTGACAAAACTTGGTTCCTCTGTAGGGTTACGAGGCCGACAACGAAAACATCGAATTACTTCGTCTACGCAGTTTCACCATTGGAAAGCCCCTTTCTGACTCGGAATTTCTGGCCTCGAATGTGCAAGAGAGAATTGCCGCCGTCATTGGTGTCATGGAACCCTTTGTAAGCCATGCTAGCCACCCTTGTTGCGCAGCCTCATTGGCTTTTCTCCCGCCCGTCCTCGTCTCTACCTATTGGATCTTACCATCCCGTATCAGATACATGGCCCTTGTCTGGTTCTCGTTCCCCTCTTCCTCATGCCCTTCCCAGCCACTTCAGCGGTGTAGCCTCTGAGACACAATGGTCCCCACCGTCTAGTACACTCATGCTTCATGCTATCATATGAGGATGCAAATAGTCCCCGAAGTTCTTTCATGAGCGCTGTTTTACTGACAACGGTATCATTTCACAGGTTACGTACTTGAACAGCGTCGTTATGCCTGATCCAGTGGACGAGGATTCAGGCTCCGAGTCCGACTCCGCATAATCAGATTTCGTTGCAGGCCAACTCCCTCCCTGGACGTCCCAGGGTCGTTTCGCAATGACCTCTTCGATCTTGCGGTGTAGTTTTTTTTTGCTTTGGCGTACAAATACGAAGTCCACTTTTGAAGACTCCCTAGTTGTGGCAAGAGCCACAGCATCTTTTTTCGTAACATCATCACCCCTCGCCCTGTATATTCGGACACTGGGACCCCTGGCGCTGAGCTGGCTGCTGGCCTGGCACCGACATTCGACCATATACTATCCACTCTTTGTTGAGTGGGCTTGTCGTAAGAGTCTAGACGCATTTTTGTCGACGCTGAATTACCGTGGATTCAAATTTCCTGACTGCAACTGGCATGCATCCCCCTCTCTTATCTCTGTCACTGACCGCCAGTCTCGGTCTTCCAGTAAGAACTGTTCTTGGGTCAAATCCATGAACAATTGACACGCCACTTCCCACATATCGCCGACTTGCATGTTATGGCCTGCTGTCCGCGCGCCGCTGCCCGGCCCGTGGGACGTGCCGTTAGCTCCACGGTGCAGCCCATTTCTCGTCAATGGGAGTTATCCACTTCTGCAGGCGTGCGAATTCGTCGATGCCGCTTACCATCTCTGGTACTTGATCCATGGACGCAGGAGCAACGATTTCTGCATCAATGCCTGAATTCGCGACGCAAAATGTCTTGTACAAGCCGTGGTGTCATCTTCAAGGCCAAGCAGTCGCCTTTCTGGTGCCTGACACACAGTTAACCCAAGTCAGCAACCTTCGCGAAAGGCAAACTCACTCAGGGACTGTGGCCACTAGGCAGGAGGGCTGCCTTGCTCCTCCTGACTCCTGCAAACCGCACCTTACCTTTCTCCACCTAGATTCCTTGTACCCTATATCTAAACCGTACTATTGGATGGATCGATTCCGGTTTGACTCGCCGAGATCCTGGCGGAAGTTTCCGTTCAATAAATGCGTCTGTCGATCCTTGTCTCGTTTCTCAATCCAGACAAAAGATGATGATCCTTCCCCCTCGAATCGAGGGTCAGTTCTCATATTGCGCACTCAAGCACTCGTAAAGGCCTGCTTGTGGTTATCAATGTCTCTACCTTCTACGAAACACTTATACTGTCGAGGAGATCCATTGAGGCCCTACAATGGTAGATATCAGAGTCCGATGCCACTTCGCAGGCCTTCATATAAGAACAAAATAAAAGAAAAATCATAACCAAGTAGTATTGACAACGACAACGTGATAAAACCCATCTATTTCTGCTGTATACTCGATGCTTTGATGAATCTCGTTCTATGCATAAGTAAGTGATGGTTCCAGAAGAGAAGCAGAACAGATGATATATTTTTCTGCGGAGGACCCTTCCGACTGCAAGTAGCATCCCGAATTGCCTTTACTTAGCCGCCATTCATTTATCATTAATAATTCAAAATAAATATATCGGTTAAGCAGCTTGCACTTGAAATGAACGTATCCACTCCAAGTGTGAGGTGTAAACTGCGATTGCGAAAGTATATCTGCCCTACGAAATTTGACTTTGTACGAGTTCGCTTATCATCTCGGAAGGGGGAGTGGCAATGACACGCATAGACTTTAATAACGTCAGCTAGTTGAGATTAATCTGTGGTTTAGACTTGTGGGTTATTTGAACTGCCTCAAGGACTACATATCGTCGAGACAACTGTAGCGGGTTGACTTATTTGCTCAGACAGACATCGACTAGGACTAACTCAGCACAGGGAATATAGAGAGCATGTGAAAGGTGAGTGTGCATTCTTTTCGCCTACCTGTCGCCTCCCTGCTGCCCAAGGCATCCTCGCTTCTAGAGAGGCCTCGTCGTAGAAGAACCTTGTTTGGATCCAAGGCTCATCTCCTTGCATGAGATAGGCTAGACAGGGCACCTGACGGTGATCCACGGCTAACTCTATCCGAGAAATGTGGGCGATAATGTGATAGATCAGTATCTGGCGTGTACGCTGTAGGCTTGTCACCTAGTGTCTCTTCCAAGTACAGCGAACGCATGCCAGCTATCCGTAGCCCTAACCTGAAAAAGATAATCGAGATCTTGGAGTACGCTTGACGGGTGGTACTGATCTCCGTGGCTGTTGCTGCCCAAGGCCCCAAAATAGCTAGAGCCGAGGGATGATCTTCAGTACAAACCTTAGGCGTACAGATGATCCGATGACCTAATCTCGATTCTCGGTCTCTTTTCCCCGACGCAAGTACCGGTCACAGTCAAGTACTTCCTCTTTTGGAAGAATGACTTCATGCTCAAATAAGACACATTCGTACAGGGGGAGTGCGCTTCGATGAGTGGTTGTGAAGCTGGCTTGACCCAAGGTTTTCCTTGTCCGAGCGTTCTATCGTCGGAACAGCGTTCTTTTTTAGTTCGTCTAGTTCGCCGAAAGGGATCAAAGACTTGTCTGACGAGTCAAGTGAGCCAACTCTGCGCAGTCAGGTAGTCCATGAGATTCACTTTTCTAAGTTTAATCTCCCCGACCCGTCACGCGATGCAGAGGATAGTATTAAGGCGGCACGTCAGGCTGAAGAGCTGCGATGCCCAAGACATGCTTGACGGTTCGCACTCAATGATGATCCGTAAAGGAGATTCGAGAAATAAGGACACATGTAGCGATGCGTACTGGATCATGACTTGAGACTGGTGGAATGAGCACGTCAAGCAAGCTACATAAAATAGTGTTGCCTCGCTGATTTCCTGTTCTGCCACGTCATCAAGGAGGGATCACGCTTGTATGTGTAAGTGTGCACAAGATGCAGTGCTGCAGTCAGGTAAGCAGTAAGCACGGACATAGGCAATCAGAAAGACTTGCATATTTGCCTTTTCGAGATTCGGACAGAAGTGGGTGAGATGCCTGTCACTACTGCTAGACTTCTGTCTAACCATCCAAAGCACGTTTTTAAGCGCGCAGACAAGCCACAATAGGAAACATCATCGAGCCAACCTGTGAAGGCTAGGAACCCGGCCGAGCCCCTGACCCTGATTGGGCCGCATATAATCACGTGACTGAATTCGTATGCGGGCTTCCCGTCGATCGCAAAGCAGGCTGGTCTGGTGGATACGTTTGCAGACCAATGAACCTGGCTCTAAGCCTGTGGGCCTTGAAGTGAGCAATCGAAACCGGCTCAGTTCTCTGTTTGCAGGATGCTGTTGTCCTACTCTTCCTAAATTAGTGATACTCCGATGGTTGGCAAGGTTCGCAATGCCGACAGGGGAATTGATTGGCTTGGTTGGGCTGCTCAACGGGATGCTGTACCCCGAACCTTGCGCCTAAGACAACAAGTCAGTCATGAACCATGGAACGGCAAGATCTTGCTAGAGTCACTAGCACAAAGCGACTCGGTTACTGGACAAGCGGCCGTTAGTGAGGTGGAGACTGCATCCTGGAGAGCCCGGAGACCAAGGCCATAGTGACGGAGTGACTAGTGACCCCTGACCACTGACCACCCAGAGCTGGAGCCTGGAGGCCTGGAAAGGGGGCCAAGGACAGCCCACTGAGCCCAATAATGTGCAGCCCACCAGCTGACGGTGGGTTTTGGCGGCAACGGAAAGACGCGGACGGCAATGCACCGCGCCGATCGGGTTCAAAAAAAACGTGGCAACAAGTTGGGACAAAGAAGAATAGTCCAGCCTATCAGCCTGCGAAAAGATGGTCGGTAAAAAAGAAAAGAAGGAAAAACGCAGTATAAATTACTGTTATTGTATTACCACTGTTCTATTACCGTATTTGATGTACGGTATCAGACACATTGAGGACCCCGGCATTAATAAAGCGTCAGATTATTCATGGCTGTCAAGGACCTATATGTGGTGATACTAATCGCTAGGGCAGAGTGAGGCTGGCCATGACCTTCGGCCGTGTGAAACATCAAATCGTAACGATCCCAATTGATTTATTTTAGAGGTTTGAGTCTCCGTTGCGTTGCGTCTGTCATTGACGGCTGGACGGAGAGCGTCCGGAGGATAGACCTCTACCTTAGATTCCCACATGTCAGGAAGAATATCTCCAATATCGTTGTGGCTTACAGGTTGACACTGGTGATGATTTCAAGCGTCGTAGGAAGGTCGAAATCAAGGCAAGAGATGGACGGACGGCAAAGTAGAGCTTCTAAGGAGTAATATGCCATGACTCGAAACGGAGCAATAGCAACGAACCTTTAAGTGATGATAACCGACCTACGCGAAGAAAAATAAGGACAGAGGCCTGCTTATCATGGTAACTCATCACGGCCGAGGCCTGCTATGGTAATGCTGATGACGACCGATTCTGAGAGCATGCCACACTACCTTACACTTCATGCATAAGATCGGCGGGAAGTCGGAGCGGCCCGTCATGGACATGTTTAGGAGATGATCAGCGACGTCGAGTGATAGGATGGTGCCCAACGCCTCGAGGCGAGCACAATGGCACATGCATCCCAGTCACATTCTTCGACGCACTACACTGTAACTAACTGCGCTGAAGCATCTGTTTGCGATCGCAAACTCCTGCTGAATTGGCGGTGTTTGTCAATATCACATGAGGATTGAGCGCTGCGTTTTCCCCCTTCTTCCTCTACCCCCACCTTCATTTGCATTTTCCCTGATGACGCGGTATTCTCCCGATGCCTCGCAAGGGGGCGTCGTGTGTTTCAGTGTCGCACGAAGGGGCGGGAAAGCGGCAAATGGCATCAGCAAGGTGAGACTGAATAGGTACAATAGGTCGGAGTCGAACCCACAGGATTGATATCATGCTAGGGCCTTAATATATTCTGGGTCACACGATCCATCCCTGATCTACTATGTGGGTGTGT